TGGGGACAGTGGGGACAGTGGTGGGAACAGTGGGACAGCTCAATGGGACAGCGGAGGAGTCAGTGGGACAGTGGGGACAGTGGGGATAGTCGGGCAGTGGTTGGGGCCGTGGAGACAGTGGGGAGAGTGGAACCGTGGTGGGAACAGTGGTGGGGACAGTGGGGACAGTGCGACAGTGGTGGGGGCACTGGTGGGGACAGTAGGGACGGTGGTGGAACCAGCGGGAACAGTGGTGGTGAGGACAGTGGCGCTGGGAACAACAGTGGGGGATGTGATGCGGACGGTGGTAGGGACCGGGAGTCGTTTGCTGGCGGTGCGTGGGGGGGGGGTCGAACCGGTTGTGACCCCCCTCCGGTTTTCGAGGGGGGGGGGGTTCGAACCGGTAGTGACCCCCCCCGGTTTTCCGGATCCGGAGGGGGGGGGGGGGGGGGTTCGAACCGGTAGTGACCCCCCCCGGTTTTCGAGGGGGAGGGGGGGGGGGAGGGGTTAGGGGAGGGGGGGGTTTTGCGGGGGAGGGGGGGGGGTCCAGCAGGAGGGGGGGGATTTTCGGAGGGGGGGGGGGGGGCGACCTCCGGGCTCCGGAAGAAAAGGTTGGCAATTTTCCACAGTAATGCGGCGGTGGATCACGCTCTCTCTAACATATGCTAGCCAGCGTATACACCAAACATTGTGTTTACAGCAGTTTAGGTTGTACAATTTATGTAGGTTGTACAATATCTGTTTGACCATGTTTGCTAAACAGCCTTGCGTCGTACATCATCGTTGCGTGCACGCTTTGCGAGGCGACTCGTGTAGATTATCGCTGTCGGCTCCCATCTCCTGCTCCTCCAAAACAACCAATCTTTGTGGAGCAGTATTTGTGTGGTGCAACATAAGGTCAAAACGCCACATTTAGCGCGCACAACCCCCCTTGAGGGACAATGCGTTACTCGCCGACCGTGCACGCTATACGCCAACTCCCCTGGTCGAAACCACTCTGGCCACTGACTAAAACGTGCGTGCACGCTATACGTGTCTATGTTGCAAGCGGACGTGCACGCTAAACGTTTTTACGTTGTCGAGCTTTTTACATTGCCGCGTGCACTCTATACGATGGTACTCTTCGGCTCACCTCTCCACTCCGTCCCCTTCCCCCCCTCCTCCGAGCGACATGCTCGTATGGCGCCCCTCGGGGGGGGAACTCTATACGTGTCCTCCACCTCCGGCTCGCCATTCCACCCCGTCCCCTCCTCCGCTCCCCATCCGAATGAAAGTGTTCATGGCGCCCGTTTGGGGGTGCACTCTATACGCGTCCTCCTCCCAATACTCGCCATTCCACTCCGTTTACTGCTCCGCTCCACTGCGTATTTAGGATGAGTAGGAGGAGGAAGAGGAAGAGGAGGAGGAGCAGGAGGAGGAGGAGGAGGAGGAGGAGGAGGAGGAGGAGGAGGGGGAAGGGGAGGAGGGGGTGGGGAGGGGAGGAGGAAGAGGAAGAGGAGGAGGGGAGGAGGAAAAGGAAGAGGAGGCGGAGAAGGAAGAAGAGGAGGAGGAGGAGGCAGAAGTTGTTCGGGCCTGCGGATGCCGAAAGGTCAAGTGTGGTTCCAGGGACTGCTGAGCCAGATCAGCATTTTGAAAACACAGGTGCACTCTCAACGTATTTTGCTGAGACATCCGACGTGCACTAAACGTTTTTGTCTCAGCCATCGGAAATGCATGCTAGACGCGGCACAACCGCGTATAGAACGCACCCTTCTTTCGACGTGCACTCTATACGACCCCCGAATAGCGTGCACATCAAAGTCGCCACGTGCACGCTATATATGGCGTTTTGGCCGTACGTGGTGCAGTATATGCGGTCCAACCTGTGTGGTGCAACCTCTGTGGTGCGATCTATGTTGTGCAACATAGGCGGCGCAATACATGTGGTGCAATGCATGTTGTGCAATGCAGGATGGGCAATATGTGTGGTGCAATCTATGTGGTACAACCTATGTTGTGCTATCCAGATGTCTCTAATCTTTGTGGTGCAATCTATGCGGTGCGACCTATGTGGTGCGATCTGTGTGGTGCAATCTATGCGGTGCGATCTATGTGGGCTATCTATGTGTTGCAAGTGTGCGCGGCCGCGACGAGGCGGCGACGGGGCGGAGACGGCGACAGCATGGCCGCCAGACAGACATCCAGGCCCAGACGACGGGCGGCGACGAGGCGGCCACGGGGCGGCGATGGCGACAGCATAACCGCCAGACCGACAATCCCCCCCAGTTTGTATTCCAGAAGTAAGGACCCTGAACAAAAAAAAAATAAATAAAAATAATAAACAAAAAAACCAGAAGTAAGGACCCTGAAGGGCAAGCACTGTTAGGAGAAATCTGTAAGAGCCCCTAGGTGCAAGCACTGCTTGGGGAGATAGCAACAGTCTCAGGACAGCTGTCTGCCCAAGCATTTGCAGGGCTGCAGTCTTCACAGAAACGCTGATGCAGACGGACTACTCCGACAGCTGTCTGCCCAAGCATTTGCAGGGTTGCAGTTTTCACAGACACACTGATGCAGACGGACTACTCCGAGCACGCCCTGGACGGCGGGGCCCCGACTGCTATTTGGCCTGCATTTGTCGAGTAGGGGATCGACTACAGAAATCATTCGCCCCAACATGGATTTGTTCGTCGAATCCACGAGAAATTTGTTTTTTCCTGGTTCTACGGACCTTCTACCTGTGACTCGACGGGGAAATCGATTCTGGGGTGCATCAATTCTGTAGTCGATCCCCGACTCGAGCTGGGCCTCGCTGGTGCGGGAGCTCGCGCAGCTTCGCCTCGTCGGCACGGGCGTCACGCACGACGCGAGCCGAGTCCGCAACCCATGCCCCGCTTGGGGGGGTTCCGTTTCACGCCGGGAGGTCTCACCCCTCACCCCTCTTGGGACCCTCCGAGCCAGGGACTCCTCGCGGCCCGGATCCGATCCGTGACCTTGCGCCGTGCAGGTCTTCCCTGCGGCGACGCGCGTGCCTTCGCTTGCGTGCCCGCGCGCGCCCGCGTCGTCGCGGCGCGCGCGTTCGGGCACGATGGCTTTTCGCTTTCCAAGAAGCAGAAGCAGATCCTCATACTGCTTGCTGAGACCTGGCAGCCTGAGGACTGCGAGGCGCGATCCCGGGCATGGATGCGCGATCCCGTGGCTGCGCTTCGCGGCGGGGCATCTGCGCAGGGCCGCCCCCGCGTCCGCAGGGTCGCGGCAGCGAGGGGTCTGGATCGCGAGGCCGTGGATCTGTGGAGACGCCTCCCGTGGATGGGCAGAACAGTTCAACCCCTGATTCGGTGGCGGCCAAGAGGGGGGCGATGACCATGGTCGCAGGCCTAGAGGTTGACACCAACACCAAGATCGGCGGTCTGCCTCCACCGAGGGAAGACGATGCCGATCTCGGTGGCGGTGGTAATATTCTGGCTTCCAAGGTGACCGAACTATTACCACCAACACCGAAATCGAGGATCATCATCCCCCTGTGGAGGCAGCCCCCTGTGTTGGTGTTGGTGCCAATTTCCAGGCCTCCAACATGGGGGGGTGGATTTCATGGCGTGGGCCATGATCTTTCCTCAGACTTCATGGCGCCTCTCCTGATTTCATGGCGTCCTTGGCCCCCCTCTGGGCCGCGCACGTGCCGTTGGCCATGATTTGCGCCCCCCCCCTCCCCCTTTTTGACGCCCCCTTCTCGGCCGACCCCGATTGACACCGCCCCCCCCCTTCCCCCAGATGCAAAGCTGGTCCCAGGCATTCGGCAGCACGGGCGTGAGAGGACAAAAATCGGTGGAACGCCCACGGCCTCGGCGAGCCTCGTTCCAGCCATGAATCCGGGGGGGACGGGGGGGGGACGAACACGGGGTCGAACACGAAGGGGTTCCACCTTTGTCCCCTTTCCGTCCCTGGCGGCTTCGCCGTCCTAAGTTTTGCTTCGGGCTCAGGCAGTGCACCGTCTTGCCCCCTTACGCGGAAGTAGCCGACGGTTATGCAAGGGGGCGGCGGCGTCGGAGTCGTTGGCCCGTCTGGGTGTCCCCAATTTCCGTCGCGCGCTCGCAGGGCGTGGCGGGCGCGGTATTTCCGCGACCCCCCGATGGCGGTCGCAGGGGGTAATCCCCCCATGGGGAACCTAAGGACCCGAGTGAGGACTGCTGTGCAACATGTGAGGACAGTGAATCAGTGTGGGGGGGTCTTCTTTTCTCACAGTCCTCACGGTCCTCACATTTTCTACGGCAGTCCTCACTCTGGTCCTCACGGTCCTCACGGCCCTGGCGGGTGTTCGGATTTTGCAGGCCAGACCCCTATCTCTTGATAGCCCCATGGCCACCACGATAGAGCAGCCGTGGCACTTAGGCACCGCAAGGAAGAGACACAAGGGACTTCCCCCACGCGACAAAAGGCCGACTCCAGAGACCCTGGAGACGCCAGAATTTCCGGTAGCATATTCTGAGAGCCTTGTGTACCCTCGCAATTCTGCCTTGAGTGTCGATTAGCGTCGATTAGCGTCTGGGAGTCGATGAGATAGCGCCGAGTTAGCGTCGTCTAGCGCCACTTAGCGTCGATTTAGCGCCGATGAGCGTCGATTTAGCGTCGACCAGCGTCGATTCGTAAGAGCCGACAAGATGGTATGGGAGGTTCCCATGAGTTGCCACCGAACGAATTAACGGTATCTGTTGGGGTGTCTGCTCGTAGTTCCGCGGGCTTCGGACCAGCACGACTTTCCACGGGTCCCGGTGAGCCGGGTCATTTGCCCAGAGGGTTGGCGGGGAAGGGGCGGGGCAGGCAGCACCCGGCAGCAGCCCCGGCAGCAGCGGGAGCACGAGCAGCTGGAGCCGCAGCCATACAGTGGAGACCCATGCCAAGAAACACCTTGCTTGGGTTTCGATGGTTTTGCTTTGGAAAGCGTGACGTTCCCACCAAAAATCAATTGACGTCCTGGGGTCTCAGGGTTGTTTTTTTTGTGGACGCTTTCTTGTGGAAGGTTTCTTATTGTATACCCCGCTGACAAGGTGTCGACATCTCCATCCTCGATGAGGCCACTCGGAAGGAGATGGAGTACCTCGCCGAGGCTGCGCCAGCGGCCAGGCATGAGAGGTAGCCATTGGGCAGATTTTGTCTTGGTCAGCGGGTGAGGGGAGGTCTCTTCGCCTGGGTGTCAACGCGCGGCTCTCGCTGCCTTCTGTCTTTTCTCCTCTTTGCATTCTGCCTGTTGTTGTTCACATTGTTTTCTGACTATTTGTGTCCAACGTTCCTGTTCTCCCTTCGTTCACTATCGTTTCGCTCGTTCGCTCGCATTTAGTTCCATCTGTCGCTGACGTTCGCTCGCCGTTTCCTGTCTTTTCCTCCTCGCCGCTTCAGTCAGCCTGGTTGCCCGTCAGCCCCTTTCCACCTCCGTTTTTTTTCACACGCAGGATACCACAGAAGAATTTGGTGTCCTGTCTGCGCTTCCGCTTGCATGGCCGTCGGGCTGGTCTCCCCCTTGCGTTTTTCCATTCGGATCGTCTTCGGTCGTTCGTTTTCGGCTGTCCCGAGGGGCGCTCTCGCCTCGGCGTCTGTCACGCTGCTGCACTCCAGCCACGCTTCCCCTTCAGTCGGGCCTGTCCCTCTACAGGAGGAGTATTCAATTACACTGGAGAAAACCCTAATCAGTGGATGATTTGAAAATTACTACTCTGGATCTTGAGATCGACTGTGAGATCGATCATGAGATCGATGGGGTGGAATCGACAGTCAGGAAGATTATAAGGTCGATCGTGAGACCGAGAGCGAAATCGATTCAATGAGATCGATAGTGAGATCGATCGCGAGATCGCTCATGCGATCTCTAGTGAGATCGCTTGTGAGATCGATAGTGAGATCGATTGCGAGATCGATGGTGAGATCGATAGAGAAGTGGGTAATGAGATCGATGGTGAGACCGATCGATAAGAAGATCGACCAGGAACCCGGGAACCCGTGAAACTCGCCGCCCTCCGAAATCGGCCCGGAACCCGGAACCGGGAACCCAGGAACCCGGAACCGGGAACCCGGGAACCCAGTGTGCGACCAAAATCGGCGGGACACTTTCGCCAAATCCTTCAACTTCTGCGAGGACCCCTTCAGTACAAGCATTGATTGGGGAAAATGATAAAAAATCGCCCGACGAAGGACCCAACCATATGCAGGTGTGAGTACCGCAGTTGTGATTCACTTTTTCGGTGGTGATCCCTATGAGGCAACGAACCGTGCTAGGGGTGTGCCGACATGAGTAGCGTGGTACACAACGCGAACGAAAACGATTGATTTGAGTACGTAGGGAGACTGAGCGCAGGTGAATCTGAGCGCGAATGCGTCTGACTGTGAATGAACCTGCGTGCGAGCGAGTCTACATGCATGAATGCGAGTATGACAAAGCATGGTATAATTGTATATGAATGTCACTAGTTTGAGAATTACTGCCTCTGCGTACTCGTGACGCTGGGCGTGGCCGCCGCAAGGAACTCCCCCGGGACTCCCCGACGGCATCGCCCGCGCGCCGTGACGCCAATATCGGCGCGCCCCCCCGCGAGGATCGCGCCCGCTACCTCCCCTTCTTTTACTCCCTCTTTGCCCGCGCACTCAAAAGTCCAAGGCTGCGGGCGCAGCACAGCGCGGAGTCCCCGCGACGCGCGCATGTCGCCCCAGAGACGCGCGCAGGTCGCCCCGGAGGGGTCCCAGCGACGCGCGCGGGTCGTCCGCTGCGCGGAGCAAAGAGAGCTAGCTGGTTGGCTGATAGCGGGCAAGGCTCTTGCCGCTGGGTAGAGCGACGACGGGCGAGCGAGGCGCTGGGCAAGAACGCAGCGCGGAGTTCCCGCGACGCGCGCTGGTCGCCCCGGAGGGGTCCCCCTGACGCGCGCGGGTCGTCCGCTGCGCGGGGCAAAAAACGTGTGAGGGGTGTGCCGAAACGAGTGACGGGGGCGCATGCGGACTGTGCCACTTGGACCTTCGGCGGAGCTCTTATGGGGCCACGATAGCGTGTGAGGGGTGGGCCGAAATGAGTGGTGGGGACGCATGCGGACTGTGCCACGGGGACCTTCGGCGGAGCTCCCATGGGGCCACGAAGCGTGTGAGGGGTGTGCCGAAATGAGTGGCGGGGGCGCATGCGGACTGTGCCACTGGGACCTTCGGCGGAGCTCCTATGGGGCCACGAAACGTGTGAGGGGTTGCCCGACATGAGTGGCGGGGACGCATGCGGACTGTGCCACGGGGACCTTCGGCGGAGCTCCTATGGGGCCACGAAGCGTGTGAGGGGAGTGCCGAAATGAATGGCGGGGGCGCATGCGGACTGTGCCACTGGGGCCTTCGGCGGAGCTCGGGGCCACGAAGCGTGTGAGGGGTGTGCCGACATGAGTGGCGGGGACGCATGCGGACTGTGCCACGGGGACTTTCGGCGGAGCTCCTATGGGGCCACGAAGCGTGTGAGGGGTGAGCGGACATGAGTGGCGGGGACGCATGCGGACTGTGCCACTGGGGCCTTCGGCGGAGCTCCCATGGGGCCGCGAGGAGTGTGAGGGGTGGGCCGACATGAATGGCGGGGACGCATGCGGACTGTGCCACTCGGACCGTCGGCAGAGCTCCTATGGGGCCACGAAGCGTGTGAGCGAAATGAGTGGCGGGGACGCATGCGGACTGTGCCACTGGGGCCTTCGGCGGAGCTCCCATGGGGCCACGAAGCGTGTGAGGGGTGGGCCGAAATGAGTGGCGGGGACGCATGCGGACTGTGCCACAAGGACCTTCGGCGGAGCTCCTATGGGGCCACGAAGCGTGTGAGGGGTGTGCCGAAATGAGTGGCGGGGACGCATGCGGACTGAGCCACTGGGACCTTCGGCGGGGCCCCTTCTGGGGCCACGAAACGCTGTTATGGGTGGGGGAGACGCATGCGGACTGCGCCACGGGGACCTTCGGTGGCGCTCCCCGTGGGGCCACGAAGCGCTGTACGGAGGGGGGGTGAGACGCATGCCAACCGCGCCATTGGGACCTTCGGTGGAGCTCCCTTTGGGGCAACGAAGCGTGCGATGATGTTGATGATGCTGATGTTGATGATCATGATGACGACGATGCTGACGATGATGATGTTGATGATGGTGCTGCTGATGATGATGATGATAAGAGGAGGGGAGGAGGGAGGAGAAAAAAGGAGGAACGTGGGGCGACGTCTCTTCAAAACGAGGACCCAAAACCACAGGATGGTTGGGAAATAGTCTGGGGACGTGTTCCAACTTTGGGGTACCTCTTCATTTCCCCCATTTTTCGCCCAAAATCTGCCAGTAGGGGGGCACGCCCGACCTAAACTTACCCAGCGCGATCAAATACTCTGCGCTTTCTCTCGTGGTATGCCGCCGCCCCTCCCGCTGCCCGTGCCTCGCCGCGCCTGCGGGGGTTCGGCCTGCTCGGAGGCCCGCTGCGGCCGTCGTCTTCTTCGTCGTCGTCGTCGTCGTCGTCGTCCTCGTCAGTGTCGTCGTCGTCGTCGGTCGTCGTCGTCGTCGTCGTCCTCATCGTTGTCGTCGTCGTCGTCGGTTGTCGTCGTCGTCGTCGTCCTCGGTTGTCGTCGTCGGTCGTCGTCGTCGTCGTCGTCGTCGTCGTCGTCGTCGTCGTCGCAGTCGTCCTCGTCGTCGTCGTCGTCGTCGTCGTCGTCGTCGTAGTCGTTGTCGTCGGCGGCCGCTTCGTCGTCGCTTGTCGTCGCCCTTGTCGTGGTCGTCGTCGTCGTCGTCGACCGTTTCGTCGTCGTCCCTGTCGTCGTCGTCGTCGTCGTCGTCCTCGTTGTCGTTATCGTCGTAGTCATCTTCCTCTTCCTTGTCGTCCTCCTTGCCTTCCTCTTCCTTACCTTCCTTCTTTCTTCTCCTCAATCCTTCTCCTGGTTCCTTGCTTCGTCACGCTGGAAATATAAGTCGACGATCAAGTTCTGACTCGGCAGCTGGACTGTTGAACAGGAAAAGGTTGAGCTTAATGGGAAGTGATGGAGGTGAGGGGTAGACTGTCAGATATGGCGCGCGCGTACCTAGCTTGCCTCCACTCTCCTCTACTTCCCCCCTCCACCTCTCCTCTCCTCGCCCCCTTCCTCTTCTTCCTTCTTTCTCATCCACTTTATTCTTATCATTGTCATTGTCGTGGTTACCACCACTACCAGTTATCTTGATCCTTCTCCTGCTTTTTTTCCTCTCCAGAAACCTCTTCTCTCTGCCGACAACCGAAAACTCCGAACACTCCCGACAACCTCCCACAAGCCGTTGAATTTCATCCGAGAACCTTTTCCCCCTCCACAGTTACACAATATGAATACTATGGAAACAGGGGCCCTCCTCGAGCTCGACAGCGGTGACGAGTCCGCCGCCGCCGACGCAGCTGCGCTTCCCTTTGGAGTGGCGGGGACCGCTCGCGAGGATGCCGCGAGCGATTATACGACCCCGAGTGTGGAAGCAGGGGCCCTCCTCGGGCTCGACAGCGATGACGAGTCCGCCGCCGCCGACGCAGCTGCGCTTCCTTTGGGACTTGCGGGGGCCGCTCGCGAGGATGCCGCGAGGGAGCAGTGAAGAGACTGCGCTCGCGCGACTGGGCTCGCGTGGCCTCTGCGGGCCACTTCCGTGCACCAGGTGGCAGCCAGGCACACGGCGGCGGAAACGCCGTGGGACGCGGCGGAAGCACCAGGCCGGCCTTGCCCTCAGCGGAGGAAAGTGGTACCGATGCCGCTACGCCTCCCTGGTTTTCGCCTTTTGAAGCCTCTCTTTGCCACTGCTGGATTCGCCTCGCAATCCTGGCAATCCTGGTCAGATCACGAACCTTACATCTATACCTATACCCGTTTTCTCTTGAAATTTGCGTCAGAGGAGGCCGCGTATCGCGTGGGCGACGGCGTTGTGAACGAGTGCGCGTCGCAAGCCTTTTTGAGTTGATTTTTTTCTTCTGGACGTAGATGGCCGCACCTTGGGAGAGATTTGAAGAGTGGCGGTATCGGTACTGTTTGGCTTCCCCATGCCCACTCCTCTTCCCGACGATCCCGCCGGGAGAGACCAGGACCGCTCGCTCCCATCCTTCTTGGGGCGCATCGTAACACAGGGGGTGCGCCCCTCCTCCTCCTCCTCCTCCTCCTCCTCCTCCTCCTCCTCCTCCTTCTCCTCCTCCTCCTCCTCCTCCTCCTCCCCCCGTCCCCTGGCGGATCAAGTGTCTGGGCCCATCGTGAACGTTTTGCCTGTGCTTCTTCTGCGCCAGTGCCGCCTTCGGCTGTTTGTATTTTCTGTTACGCCAGTGCCGCCTTCGACGCCTGGTGCTTCGCGGATCTCATGATAGTCAGATCGTGCGCCCACATATAGGCGTATTCACTCGTCCATCGCGGCGAAGGACGTCGACAGCGAGATAACCACTCTCCTTTGCATCTGCCCCCCTTTCGCTAGGGTATGACACTTCACCATTCCCCCTGGAGCCCGTGCCACTGGTGTTCTTGCAGAGCGTGCGCGGTGGTGCCAGTGCGGTTGATGGTGTGGGTGATGGGTGATGCTGTGCGATGGGACTGCTGTCCAGAGTGCCGTGATGGTGCGATGACTCCTGCACGTTCCTGCTCGTGCCTGGAGGTCCCGTCGGAGGCCCTCTGGGGCTTTTTCGGGAGTCTTTCCCCACGCGCCCGTGGGGCCCTCGAACAGGAGCTGCCGCAGATCGCGTTGGCTGCTCCTCACACGCGGCTCCTCGCAGCCGTTTTACCATTCCTTCTCGATGGGTCAACGCAACACCATCCGCCACCGTGCCTCTGGGCACGGAGTGTCCTCAGGTCCTTTGCCTAATCCCCTGAGCCTCAGTCCTCAATCCTGTAGAGTTGTTTCCAGGGCCTGGACCTGGAATTCTCAAATCCGCTGGGGCTTGTCGCGGTTTCCTTGGGTTCCTGGCATCTTGACGCATGACCTTGTCGGGCCCAAGAGGGCCCTAAGACGGACCGACGCTCGCCCTCGGGCCGCCCTCCCGGGCGTCGGCAGCTGCTCTGTTCCGTCGGGACGGTGCGGGCGGACTGACGGACGAGGAGCTTGGGGAGCAGGAGGAGGAGGAGGAGGAGGAGGAGGAGGAGGAGGAGGAGGAGGAGGGGGAGGAGAAGGAGGAGGAGGAGGAGGAGGAGCGAGGAATAGCAAAGAGTGACGAGGCGAAGCTGCGCGGGGCGCGCAGGAAGAGCACACGACACCCACAGGTGATGCGGGGAACAGGTGGTGCGTATATCATCGTCCTCTCCCCCCCTCCTCTCCTGGGGCCTTTCCCTTCCCCTTCCCCCATCCTCCTCAGCCTCCTCTTCCCCTCCCCCTCCCGTCCTCCTCCCCTCTCTCTGTCCGCCTCCTCCCCTCCGTCCCTCGTCCTCGCGCTCTTCCTCGTCGCCTTTGTTGTGGCGTGATCGTCGGGGTCGTGGCCGTCGTCGTCGCGGTCATTGCCGCGGACGTCGCGGTCGTCGTTGTCGTGGTCGTGGCCATCGTCGTCGTCGTCGTCGTCGTCGTCGTCGTCGTCGTCGTCGTCATCGTCGCGGTCGTGGCGGTCGTCGTCGTCGTCGTCGTCGTCGTCGTCGTCGCTTTAGTTGCCATGGTCCCCGAAGGCCGTCTTGCAGAGGGCGCCCCTGACGGCCAGCAGCGGCGGCAACCGCGCCCACGGCGCCGTGGACCTGGGCGTGGCGCTGCTGCGCAAGTGCTGCGGCCGCCCCCCCCCCCCCCGCGCACGCAGGAAGGAGGGACGGGGAGGAGGGAGGAGGTGGGGGGGCGTACGAGGCGCAGGGGCTCATCTCAACCGTCAGCGTCCAGATGAGGCGCTGGGAGCCGGACAAGCGAGGACCTGCGGTCGGCCACGCGCGAGGAGGGGGGGGGGGGCCGGGGGGAGCGGTGCCCACTTCCTGGTCGGAAACCCAGTGTAGTTTGGCTTTCGCTCTCGCCTTCGTCCAGGTCGCCGGCCACTCTGTCGACAGGGTGCAGGTACGCTGGGCCGCGTTAGGCGCGCGTGTTCAGTGCTTGCACGGGCGCGCTGTATAGTGTTACCAGTGTTGCCAGTGTTACCAGGAGGCGAAAGACGACGACGAGAAACAGGGGGGAGGCGGATGGGGGAGGAGCGGGAGGGAGAGCGGGAAGCGGAGAGGGAGGAAGAGGGCGAGAGTAAGCTCAAGACGAATCGACGATCCTGCGGTGCGGCCACCCGTTCCAGGTCCCCTCCTCATGGGCCCCTCATGAGAATTCCTGCTTACTGCGGGGCACGGCCCTTTGCAAGGCGAGCGCTCCACGGTCTTGCAATTGAATCGAAGTCACAGTTTTGAAACGGAGCTGCCATCCATGCTCCTATAAGGACGGCGACGAGGTAGGATCATTATACCTATACGACCACCCTTCGGGTAATAAGGAGGTTCGAGGGGGGGCAGGAACCAACCTCTCACTCAAGCGATGTCACTATCGATGCCACTGTCGATCGCACTATCGATCTCGCCATCGATCTCAGTATCGATCTCAGTATCGATCACACTATCGATCTCGCCATCGATCTCACGATCGATCTCACTGCGGGGCACCGACGGGACACCGACGGGACACCGACGGGACATCACTATTGATCTCAATCGATTTTACTATCGATTTCGCGATCGATCTCACTGTAGATCTATTATCGATCTCACTATCTCACTCGGTTTCATTATCGATCTCACTATCGATCTCACCACGGGGCACCGACGGGACACCGACGGGGCACCGACGCGACACCACAGGACACCGCGCCACCGGGCACCACGGGCCACCGCGGGACGCCACGGGACACCATCGGACACCACGGGACACCACTGGACAAAATCGGCACATCACGGCGAAACACCCCCAGCCACCGCCAGCCAACCTGGGGAGGGGCGGTGTTTTGGACCAGCGGCGCCCTAGCCAGAGGAGGGTTCATTCCTTTCGCCCGCCAGCGCAGCTTCGCCTCGCCCGCACGCACGACACGAAAACAAAACCGAAATCGATTTCCCGGCGGGGTGGTCTCCGTTGCATTGCGATCTCACCTCCTAGCTTCCGATTCAAGCTTGATGCCTGGGCATTCAACCTTATGACATATCAAGGGGTAGCTCCGATCTGAAAACGAGCCGCCTGTCACCCGTGTGAGTGTTGCACAGTCTTACATGGATTAAGAGGTCTCACGCGATAGGTTTATTTTGGAAAGGAACCGCGCTCCATCCGTGTAGCGGATGGAAGCTTTGAAAGCGAATGTGCGCGGTGCCAAGGTGGGAGCCACATTGTGAACACAACCCCTTCCACCCGTGTAGCCATTCTGAGTTTTTAAGACAAGTATGCGTGGCACCCAAGCGACAGCCATAGGTTGAAAATTCGCCGACCTCCATCTGTGTAGCCGCAAGAAGCTTTTAAGATGAATGCGCGCGACGCTACGGCGAGACCCACATTTTAAGGAGGAACAGACCTCCATCCTGTAACACATACGGGCTTTGAAACAAATGCTGCGCTGAGGCCAGAACCACATTTTGAAAGGACCCCCCTCCATCCGTGTAGCTGGTGGAAGCTCTTAAGACGAATGTGTGCGTCGCTGATGTGCGAGCCACGCTGTGAAAACGACCCTCCCTCTCCACCAGTGTAACTGTTGGAGCTTTCAAGCTTCGGCGACACTAGCGGGGAGGAAGATTCAGGCGAAACGCCCAGCCCGCCCTACCGACACGTCAGTTGGGGAAGTAAGGAGTTATCTGTCAGGAAAAGAGACCGAGGAGGCAGATGGGCTGGAGCGGGAGAAGCGTGAGGAGAAGGTGGAGGAGGAGGAGGAGGAGCTGGAGGAGGAGGACGGGTGACAGACGAGAGAAAGAGAGAGAGAGAGAGAGAGAGTGCGAGAGAGAGAGAGAGAGAGAGAAAGAGAGAGCGATATAGAGAGTGATCTATCTATCTATATATATAGAGAGAGATATAGAGAGAGAAACAGAGAAAGAGAAACACTACAATTCTGATAATGTGTGATAGAGTGAGGGGTATTAGGAGAGAGTGAGGGGGAGGAGAAGGAGAAATGATATGAGGCGTGGGGAGGGAGAGGAGGAGGAGGAGCAGGAGGAGGAGCAATAGTAGGAGGAGGAGGAGGAAAAGGAGGAGAAGGAACAGCAACAGGCGGAGGAGGAGCAATACTGAGACATATTAGGACAGAGATGAAAATAATACTGATCAGGATAAGGTTGACAAGACGAGGGGGGATGATGATGATCATGCTGCTGCTGATGATGATGTTGATACTGATGTGATGCTGTTGATGATGACGAGGAGGAAGATGAAGGGGAGGCGGAGGAGGAGGGGAAGGGGGAGTGGGAGGATGATACTGATGATGATGATGATGATGATGATGATGATGATGATGATGATGATGATGATGATGACTCCGAGGATGATGATAATGATGGCGATGATGCTGATGCTGATGAGGATGATGATGGTGATTATGCTGATGATGCTGGTGCTGATTATGCTGATGATGCTGCTGATGCTGATGATGCTGATTAGGATGATGATGGTATTGATGTTGCTGATGATGAAGCTGACGATGATGCTGATGGTGCTGATGCTGATGCTGATGCTTATGCTGATGCTGCTGCTGATGATGTCGATGATACTGCTGCTGCTGCTGCTGATGATGCTGATAATACTGATGATGAGGATTCTGATAATGAGATAGGAGGGCGCAGAGAGGGAGGGGGAAGGGGACTCAGGACGAGGACGAGAGGAGGGAGAAGGGGGTTACGTTGGGTTGCAGCCCTCGCGCAGCGACATCAGCACGCCAACGGCCACTGGCTCGGGGCCGAGTGCGAGCACGAAGCCGAGTGCCGCGAGCACGGGATGGTGAGGCCGCACGTGGACCACACATATATATATATATATATATATATATATATATATATTCCTGTTCCTATATTTTTATAAGCCCGGGCGGGGGGAAAACCCATCCCCCCCCCCAAAACCGGACTCCCGGGATCTGGGGCTTTGGGACCCTCCAGACGGGCCTCGAAGCGGCCACCGGGCCTCACATGGCGTTTTGCCAAGCCTTCCCAGCACACCTAGGGCGATCAGGGGGGTCATCGGAGAGGTCCCAGAGACCTCCAAGACAGCACAAGAGCGCTCCAAGAGTGACCGACGTGACCTCAAGATGGCCCAAAAGGCCTCCGTAGCCATTTTGGCTCAAGACATTGTGGCAAGTCTTCAGGCGTTTGAAACGTGTGATTAGTGCCCATTGCCACCAAGCCACTCTTTCTCCGCCGTTGCCGCAAAGAACGTTGTGGTTCTTGCAGGAGCGTTCGCCATCCTGCTTGTCGGCCGCGGCTGCGTCGCCGCCGACGACCTAGCCGAGACTTTGGAGGAGCGCCGCCTGATGGATGACGATTCGCGCAACTGCGACGCCACGAACGAGGCCGACGGCGTAGGGCTGCTCCAGTCACGGGCGCCAGGCCCAGGCGAACCGCAACTCGCGAACATTCGGAAGAAGAACGAGACGCAGGACCACAAACAATATGAGGAGGCGAGAGTGGAGGATGTGTTGATCGATGTCCAGAACTTCAACTCTGGCTACGTGCATCGCGGGTGGGTTACATGCGGGTCCGAGTGCCCTGGAGCAAACACATTCTGCTGCAAAGACGTTCGTTGGGAATGGGATACTTGCTGTACTGGTAATTATTATTCGAGCTACTTCATTATTCCCGGATGTCGATGCCCCTCAAGTAAATTGAACACTTGCACGAGGGGGTATTGTTGTGTGAACAACAGGTGCAGCCCGTGCTAGTTCAGATGTCCTCCTCTCTGCCCCGCTCGGTTTAACGTCCTGCCCGTTAGTCTGATAACCTTTTATGTAATCAATGGTAGTGCCAGAAAACAGACGCCACAAGTGCGGCCACAAGGGCAGCCATAACCATGCGGATTTGTGTTTTTATCGAGGGTGTTTCGCGGCAGCTTGTATGTATCTTTCAATTCAGGCTTCTCCAACGTTGCCACGCAGAGGAAGGTGTATGTCTCCTTCCGAGACAAGATTTCATCCGCGTCTTCCCTCCTCTTCTTCGTCATCCTCCTCGTCCTCCCTCTCCTCCTGCCCCTCCCTCCCCCTTTTCCTCGTCCCTCCCTCTCACCCTCGCTCGCTCGCCCCCTCACTGGAGAGGGTGGGGGCTGAAGGGGGTGGAGAGTGAATGACGATGACGACGACGACGGAGACGGTGATCCACGCGAGACGACGACGCCGTGATGCCTCTTCCACACGCCGACAGGGTCGGCGGATTTACCTTTTATTGTTCAAGATAACCTGCGCGCTTGCTTTAAAGTCGCGTTCGCCGGGGCTGTCCGCCCGACGCGACCCCAGCGACGCGCGATGGGCAAGGGGAAGCGATCCTCGCGGAGGGAGCCCCGGCGAAGAGGGGCGAGGAAAACGAGGAGGTGGTGGTGGTGGTGGTGGTGGAGGAGGAGGAGAGCAGGCAAGCCAAGTTACTCGGCAGGAATCGCCTCGGCATTTGTTAGCCGAGGCTGTGGTTGGGTCTTGGAGAGATCCTTCCCCTCCTACTATGCCTCTGCTCCAGCAGCCTGGTTAGCTTTTGCCTGGTTCGCTTTTTGCATTCCGCGGGCTGGAACTCCCGCTCCTTGGGAAAGAGGCGTCGCGCGATACAGGGCTTCGGTTGTGTGGCGCGTGGTGCTGGCTACCGGAGTGGATTCTGGTTCGCGACAGCGTTTCGCGTCCGAAAAAAAAAAGATGGCCCAAAAGGCCTCCAGGACGGCCCCAAAGAGGCTTCCAAGAGCACTCCCAAGAAGGCCCCAAAAGGCACAAATCTTTGATTTTCTGATGGTTTTTGCTGAATTTTGGGGTTCTCCTCTTTTCGGCTTCCCGACGCTCCAAGACGGCGGTCTTCTGGGCGTCCGAAGCCGCCTGGGATGCTCCAACATCGCCCCACAACCATCCGAACGGGCTTCCAGGCAGTCCAAGAGAGCCCCAAAACGGCACAACACGGGTCCAAGATGGCCCTCAGAGAGAGCCCCATGGCGGCCCAAGATGGCCCCAAAACACCCTCCGAAGCGTTCCAAATCGTGACCCGGTCGTTCAGGGAGACCGCGGTTGGAGGCAGGGTGGCCCGAGGAAGTCCCCAGGGGCCCCCAGAATACGCCCAGGAATCCTGCAGAAGGCTTTAAGAAAGCCTGAAACAACTTTTGTGAGGCCCCCAGAGGCTCTCCAAGGAGGAGCCTCCGCAAAAACGAGCTGAGGAGGATGGGAAGAATGCGCAGGGAACGGCGAACGTAAGGAGAAAAAACAAGCATGGAGGAAGGATGACGAGTAACATTATTATAACGGCGATGCCGGAAAAGGCAACAAGGAGTTATCTCTAAATTGTTGGCTTGACCTTCCTGCTATTCCGCCTGCTTACCAAACTTTCAGGACCAAGGTGCATGGCGCGAAGCGCCTGTGCAGTCTTGTATATATATGTACTCCGCGAGACACCACCTGCCGAGGACGCACATGTTGAAGACACAGTGAAGCCAGGCTGCGT